GAAATAATGTACACAACAGAAAAAGAACACATTAGATAATTTCAAAACATACCCATTATATCCATTTAACTTACAGATCTTTCCTTAACTTATAAATTTACTAAAATAGTTTAATTTAAAATAATCTCAATCATAAAAAGAAGCATTCAATCCTCAGTAGACACAGAAAAAGCCTTTGATATCACGGAATTTATATATAAAACTTTATTACAAACAAAATAAAAGGTTCGAAATAAAAGATTTAGAGATTTATTCAGAACTAACAATTATTTTATGTAATTAATTATAATCTATTGTTACTATTAAGGGGTTTAAAAACTCTTTCCTAGACGGAATCGAAAAAAATCTTATGGAATGAGAAGTCTTATAATGTCTGCTGAGGATCAACATTTATTAATTTTAATTGAAAAAGAATTTAGGCCTTTAAACTCTCAGGCACATAAATTGGAACAATATTAAAAGTATGTAGCAAAAGTAAAGCAAAAATGATCATGTAAAACATTGTAAGTAATGAAAATAAATAAATAAAATTTCAAAAAAGATTTAATTTACGAATAGATAAATATACAATTTTTTCTTTCCGTATCAAGACTCGTGAATTAAACGTGTACATTTAATAAAACCGAATACAATATTACGCAGTTTCGATTGCATATAGTTTTCATTATTTTACAGTGTGATGTATATGTAGTTGAACATTTTCGAGAATAGGAGATTAAAGAGATCAAATGGAAAGTCTAGAAGAATGCTCAATTGCGATGCAATTGTCGATTTGCTTATTGCTAACTTTTTCTATGTTTTAACATTTTCACAAAAACATTAATTTAAAATAAAACAATATATGAATAATGCGATAACAATATAACTTTTCATTTAAACGCTTTTAAAAATTATAGAAAAAAATAATCGTTTTTATTTCGAATCCATATTCAAAAATGATAAAACACAGTAAAAAAAGCTCGAAAAAATATGTTTTATTTTAGTATTTAGAACTTATAAGCGTGCAGTTGACATTAAAAAGACAAAAATTAAAATTTTCTTTTTACGACTTCTAAAAAATTTATTTAAGAAATAGAAACAGTTTTAATTATATAACTTTTAACAAAGATTGATTTAAGTTAATTCAAGCCATTAATTCTAATATAATGAATATAAAATATTTCTCACACGTAAAAGTTAATGCACAAAATATCAATAATAATTTGATTTATATAACAATATATAAAATTAATTTATTTTTATAATAATAATATAATTCTATTATAAAAATAATTTAATTAAAATCTTAATTATATATTTTAAAAACATTTTTATATAACTACACTCAAAAAAATATATTTACATATATTTTTTAAGTGACAAAATTATATTGCATATAATTTAATATTTTAATTAATTAATTAGGAAATTAATTTTTTCCTCTCGTCTCTCAACGAAGTACAGTTAATCGGAGTTGACTTGAGTTTCCAGCATATAGTACCGCAAGTTGCAAAACAGAAATAACAACTAAGAATTACTAAAAAAGGCTTAATATAACAAATTTTATGCTCTGTTTATTTCATGCTCCATAATATTTTTGTAAAAAGAATCAAATTCTCCTGTTAGATATTTATAAAAAAGTGATTCAAAGTGTCAATCTTTTCGATGCCAACTGTATGTACACTTATGGATGGAAAAGATACACAATTTTTTATCTCAATGCAATATGGAATATGCCAAAGTCATGAGAACGATCTCAAAGATTTGACGCGTATCGAAAGTCATTGGAAATAAATGTATTGCAACTTTCGAATCTAGAATCGTACATAGAACCTGGATTATTCGACAACATATTATTCAACTCCCTAGTTACCATCGAATTCCCGTGATGGAAGCATTTCGTTTAATTTTTCCGAGCAAGTTCAATAGAGAGGGGCGAGATAGGGGAGAGGGAAGCGGGGAGGGAGCGAGAGCGAGAGAGAGAGAGAGAGAGAGAGAGAGAGAGAGAGAGAGAGATCTGGAGTTAAATAATATAATGTTAGATTATTCGGATTCTATTATGTACCTTACGGCAGACGGTGCACTTTTTCCATACGTTAAAATTCTGTAAAAATTACAAGAAACATTATTCACATTTTTTTGCAATTTACTAGCTGGCATATAAAATCCAGCGTAATTGTAGAAACTGACTTAGATTAATCAAATGATTTTATTATCTGTTTGATATAAACAAATAGACAAGTTTTACGCTCACAATTTCTGCTATAACATCGCTGCGTAAGTCATTGATTGTGAATGTGATCCTTCTATTGCATGATAAAAAAAACATACTAAAAAACTTGCGCTTTAATCTGCTAAAGTTCATGTAAAACATAAAATAAAATGTTGCTAAAACACAATTTGTGACACTGGGATCTATAAGATGGTCCTTTTTTCAAGGGATCTACAATATTTTTTAAATATAAATTTAAAAACTAATTTTAAGAAAATGTTTATAATGCCGCAAAAAAAAACTGTTTCTTACTTAAGATAATCATCGAATTAATATAAATTAAATATATATGTAAATCTAAGAGTTACACATTCAATTAAAACCGAAAAAGTTAAAATATCACCATAGAAGAAAAAATGCATATGTGAAAGTATTTTTATCACTACACGTGCAAATATGAAGTTGAAATTAATCAGATTTAGCTAGGACAATACGCGTTATCGAAAAAAAGTACAGAAATAATGTACGCGATTTAAATAATTATCCTTTTGAATTTTGATTCGATTACTCGATATCTTTCAGATGTAGTCTTTTAATCGTTCGAAACAATAAAAATATCGTAAATAGTAATTCGTGCCAAACAGTAAAATTGTCCGCATGAAATTATGAATAAAAATCTAGAAGCACAAGTTAGCTCGC